TTCGTTCACATCGCTTATGTGTTGGTACAATTAGCCTCGAGTCAGCTAAGTAGTTGCTAGGTAGTAACACCTGGAGGTTGCCTGTTGTCATCTAGTCCGAGCCGACGCAGACCCCAGTAATGGGGTCAGGGACCCCAGATAAACCCGCACCCTCAGATTAGCAAAGCGGAGTTTACGTCTGCATTGCGGACTAGTTGTCATCAAGTCCCACATTAGATATCCACGTCACGATTAGGCCACACCCCCATTCAAATCGTTGATTTTACTGGATTTACTATTGCTTCAAAGTTACAAAAACACGTTTTTTTGATATTGTTTATTGTTTTTTACTGAGAAAATATAGTTGTGTTCACATAAGAAATATATGACCGGACGCGTAGCTTGGGAGCTGGGCGTCCGGTAGTTAAGTCCTACATTAGATATAGTGTTTACTCGTAGTCGAACGTTAGTCCATCAGGCTCCAGCCACTTCTTGTTCAGTTGGTCCACCATGTCGTTCAGCTCGGGAGTGAAGTAATTCTTCCAGTCTCCAATTTTTCCTGTGGATGTAGTGAACCGAGGTTAATTTGTGGCAGGCTTACAGCAAAATGCATTTTCTTCTCTCAAGGGCAATTATATCAATAACGCTGATGTCTTGCTTTCTCTGAAAATGAAACCTGAAATGAACCATAATAACGAATGGTAGTGTGTCTGCTAACCTTTGCACATGAAAACGCCCATTCCAGCATGTAAGTTTTGTCTTAACAGACTCATAACTAGCGGCGCATAGCGTCTATGTACATCTGAATGCTCCCGGTATGTACCGATATTGCTGGTGATACAAAGCTGCTGCTTGATACTTGCTTTGCAATGAAATGAACACAGTTACACACTACGAATGGTAGTGTGTCTGCTAACCTTTGCACATGAAAACGCCCATCCCAGCTTTCGTGAATCCAATGTTCTGCAGATGAGATTTGTTGCTTGCAGAATTGTCCTTCATCGTCTTGAACGTGCAGTGTTCGACGATGGTTTGCACCTGCTCCTCAGTTAGCTCCTTATCCAGGAATGCCGCTATCCTCTTCACCTCCTTGTTCAGATTCTAGGTTTGTAATATCACCAGGAAAACAGTGAGTGAAGGAGAATTAGACCATATTTATCACTCAGTTCCGTATGAATTTTGCATAGTGATACATAGGTTAGTCTGGCTTTTTGTAGGCACTTAACTCTACTGTCATACAAACGTAGAGACGTTGTGCTTTTTTGCAAGTCTGTTGTTACCTGTTATTAAAGCAGATATACAGGTCACACTTTCTTTTCGTAGTTATCACGTTGTGTGTTTTGTTATCAACTAAGAATATTGAATAATATAATTGGTAAGCACAGAAAGCCATTGCGAACTACAGTAAACTGAATACTGAAGTGAGATTTATCGTAATCATGTCTTCATACTTTAGCAGAAGCATATTCCATTCGTCTCTTAGCCTCCAGTAGTCAAGGTGATGGTCCCAAAAAGATCCGTGACCAACTGCAAATGATGTGGATAGTTGGATAGTGGATAGGCATGTAGTTAATGAGATTTTAAACTAACATGTACAGCAAAATCTATGTACGATTATACTCATAGCCTCATAGCAGCTGCTTACCCACAATATCCATTACCCTTACCAGTGACACCCATAAAGAACTCCTTTGCAAACTCTTCGAAATTGCCTTTGTAGTTGAAGTGCGTTAGCATCTTTAAGAAGTGGTACATTGAAACACAAGTGTCCTTTGGATTTCTCATCGTGTAGATAATCTGTGGGAACACACACGTGTGATTGATTTATTATTAATTATTGCCTCGGGGTGGCAGTACTCATTTGATGGTTAGGACCTTGCCGTGGCTGCTACAACTCGAAGCTGACACAATAATATCGAAGGATATAAAGTGTCGATTGACCAACTTATTTATCACTACAGCCTGCACTTACTATACGTAACACAGCAATGTTGCTACTGAGTGAGGCGTGAGGCACGTCACAGTGAGACAGTAAGTACATGTTGGAGGAGCGTGACTCTTGGCTTACCTTTAGCTTCTTTCCCCTTATCTGGTGAGGCAGTACAGGTAGTGCGAGGTGAGTCTTAATTAGACGTGGCGAGGGCATCTTTCTGATCGCAGGCCTCTGATTACTGAACGGGTACTCAAAGAACGGGAAGCGTGTATCCAGTTCTACAGTGTTGGCCGTTTCTGTGTTGGCGTTGTTGCATACGAGCCATACGATTTCCTGCGTCCATGTGGTACCTGGACAGCAATATATTGATTCCTCATTACTCGCGGCAGCGTAGAGATTCATAATTGGAAACGAGGCATATTGATTTCAAAGTGAGAGCACTCACTCACTCACGCATTAGAATACGTATCTCTAACCGTGGCTTAATATAAGTAAATATTTATTGCCAGGATTGGTGATCGATTAAATGTGATATTTTCGTTCTACGTCATTAACATCACGAAGATTTCCTATTGCTTAATAGTCAGGGCCGTAGCCTGCGGGGGGCAGCTGCCCCACCTAGATTTTGGAGCCAAAACCAAAACAAAAGTTCTACTAAAAGAGAATTGTCGTAGTCAGAATGAAGGCTGTACATGTACTCAAAAGCGCCTCAAATACCATCTCCTGCGATCTACAATTTCAAAATGTTCTGTGGGAGAGGACCCCCAGACCGTCCACCTGTTTCTCACCTCCTACTTGAAATCCTGGATCCGCCACTGCCCCCCGGCCCTGATAGTAGAGTTTGATCAAGGGAAGTGGTTACGTGCATATATGCATATATAAGCAGTTTACCCTATTACATCATATTGCCACTGTTCAATCTGTAAAACCAATATAAATAACTATTACCTGAGCGATAACGTATAGGGTTTCAATTACATTTGAAATATCATCAGATTAGACAGGCAAGTTCAATTCTGCGAGCTAAATGTGTATGTTGTTAGCACTCTACAGTGCGTGCTGGTTAGATGACAACTCACCACACTTAGGGTACGTAATGACCCAGATGTCGTCTGAACGAATTCCGAAGTTGTTTGTTTCCTCCAATCTCAATATGTGATCTTCTGAGACGTAAATTGCTGTAACGTACAAACGACACCGATAGAAATTAGTCTAAATTCATTATGGGCTAATTATCAGGGATACATACGACCCTACTTGGGTATTTATACAGTAATGTCAACTACGCATATATAACGAAGCAGCAGAGGATTAATGTTCAATTAAAATTCTTCATCCATTTTAATGACAGCAAAGTCTCTCGAAACTACACCTTTTAGTTTTACTGACTTTTCTCATAGTGCGTTACAGAATCCAAACGGTCTTGCTTCACATGCGTCCAAACAGAGGAATTGCTCCGACCTGTGATTGGAGGATAAAAATAGACCCCGCCCACTTTTCCATTTTTGGAGGATGAAAATAGAATTCGTGACGTTTCGTTTCACCGGTCATATCCGCGCGTGCATATTTGCTAATTAATTAGACTAATCGCGCTTCAATAGACTCAAAATTCACAGAGATTAAGGCTAACACATGTGTCTATAATAGCTAGAATTTATAGAAATGTAACTCAAATTGTTCGCTCCATATGATAGTTAGTACACGTTCCTACCAGTCATAGCATAGCGTATGCGGCGGGAGTGGGCGGGGTCTATTTTTATCCTCCAATCACAGGTCGGAGCAATTCCTCTGTTTAGACGCATGTCTTTGCCTCCCCTGTCCCTCGCTCAGCCTCCTTCTTTATCTACCGCCCCCAGCTATCTTTCCTGTAGCCTTTCTCCAGTCTCCGATCCCCTCTCCCCCTCAGCAAGCTATATTATGAAGTTTGCCTCAGACGGCACTGCACGTCTTACACGGTGCGCGCGCATGCGCAATATCTCCCGAGATAAATCGTATTTTGCAAAGATTATGAATTTAAAACGAAGAGGAGTTATCCTAGCATAGATTTATATGATAACATCCATTCTGTAGACATCATTTAAGAAATAGGAGGAAGACCTTGCAAGTAAGGTCCCGGTTGCGTATACCAGCCAGTACACAATACGACTACGTTAGTGTGTTAGCGCATGCGCAATATCTCACCAGAGGAGTTATATTTTGTGGTGAATATGCATTTAAAATGGTTAGGAGCTATCTGAGCATAGATTTCCCTAATAAACTTTTATCAGTACAACTGTGTTTATAATTAGGAGAGCGCCCTAGCATGTAGGGTACAAAACACTTACTTTATGTCCTCGCGTCCTTCCCCTTGCCTCCGCTGTCACTCGCTCAGCCTTCTTTTTCTACCGCTCCCAGCTATCTTCCCTGCCGTATTTCCTCAGTCTTCCATCCCCTCTCCACCTCAGCAAGCTATATTATGAAGTTTGCCTCAGACGGCACTGCACTCCTAACACGGTGCGCGCGCATGCGCAATATCTCCCGAGCGAAATCAGATTTTGCAAAGATTATGCATTTATAATGAAGAGGGGTTATCCTAGTATAGATTTACATGATAACATTCCATCAGTAGACATCATTTAACAAATAGGGGGAAGAACTTTCATGTAAGGTGTCCGTTGCGTATACCAGCCAGTACACAATACGGCTACGTTAGTGTGTTAGCGCATGCGCAATATCTCACCAGATGAGTTATATTTTGTGGTGAATATGTATTTAAAATAGTTAGGGGCTATCTCAGCATAGATTTCCCTAATAGACTTTTATTAGTTGACATGTGTTTATAATTGGGAGAGCGCCCTAGCATGTAGGGTAGAAAACACCTACTTTATTCCCTCGTGTCCTTCCCCTTGCCTCCGCTGTCCCTCGCTCAGCCTCCTTCTTCTTCTACCGCCCCCAGCTATCTTCCCTGTCGCATTTTTTCAGTCTTCCATCCCATCTCCACCTCAGCAAGCTATATTATGAAGTTTGCCTCAGACGGCACTGCACGCCTAACACGGTGCGCGCGCATGCGCAATATCTCCCGAGAGAAATCAGATTTTTCAAAGATTATGCAGTGCAACTGCAGCGAGTGACGGGCCTGTCGAACTCTGCGTCCTTCTCCGGCCTGCAGCCGATGACGTCGTATTCGATCGGCGTTTCCGCGCAGTACGACGACACGGAGTTTCGCAAGGCGGGAGTCATGACGGCGTCCACGAGGTTGAACGTCAGCGACGACGTCGGTACGCGAAACGCGCGAGGCGGTGCTTAGTAAAGCTGCCACTTCTTTATCGCCTTTTGCATCCTGTTCGTGTATTATTTTGTCCTGTAATTATTCAGTGTCTTGTACTGATTGTCAGTGTGTTATTTGTTCTGTACTTCTTGTCTTTGTGTTATTGCGTCCTGTGCTTCTTTATGTTCTTGTAGGTTCTGCTTGTATTATTTTGTCCTGTATTTCTTCACGGTCTTGTACTGATTGTCAGTGTGTTATTTTGTTCTGTACTTCTTGTCTTTGTGTTATTGTGTGCTGTACTTCTGTATTGTCTTGTACTACTTGTCAGTGTGTTATTGTGTTCGTTTCTTCTTAATTGTCTTGTACTGATTTTTTGTGCTTTTCTTCTGTGCTTCTTTATTGTCTTGTACTACTAGTCAGTGTGTTATTTTGTATTTTGCTGCTTTTCCACGTGTTATTTTGTCTTGTACTTCTTGTCCTTGTGTTATTTTGTCATGAGCTGCATTATGTTCTTGTAGGTACTGCTTGTTCAGGTATAGTTTTGTTTTTTACTGCTTGTCCGTGTGTTGTTTTTTCTTGTAGTTGTACTGTTTCAGGTTATTTTATGTACTGCTTCCTGTGTGTTATTTTGTTATATACTTCTTCATTGTCTTCTAATGCTTGCCACTGATATTAAGTACTTTTTCTGCTTGATTTTGTGCTAGTATTTCTGCAATCGGCATTCATGTAAGAGTCATTTTAAAATTTTAATAATTTCACACTTAAGCTGCGAATGGCTTTATCGTACTGCCTCAGCTGTCGATGTGTAATGCGTCGACTAAATTTAAATGACTCGACAAGTAAATATCTCGCTGGGGGGGCGGTTCCAAAATTGGTATTTGAAGCTCCAGGCACCCACAGTAGTACGATAGCTGACGTAATGCCGCTGCACCAATTCTGTTTTCACAGTAGCAAGCAAGACATGCGTCTAAACAGCTAGGAATTGCTCGCATTTCCTCGGGATCTGCCAGTCTCGATAAACATAGACCCCGCCACTCCGCGGCCGCATACGCATGCTTATGATGGTTTTAGGAAACGCCCTGTTACCTATAACCACTATTCATATGCTGTACTTCGTCCCCTCCTCCCTCGCATACCTCGGGCGAAACATATTTGAGTTACATTTCTCATAAATTCTTCAGCTATTACTACGCACTACACTTCGTTAGCCCTGTTAATCTCTACGAGAATTTTGGAGTCTATATTGGAGCGCCGCTTCTCTTCGTAATTACATTTAGCACCTCTACATTTATGCACGCGCCGGATATGACCGGGCTGTAAGAACGAAACGTCAAACGAATTTCTATTTTCATCCCTCTCGAAAAATTGTGGTACACGACAAATATTGAGGGCCCCTCTCGCTCTGCGCGGGCGTCTAGTTCTTATCCTCAAGTCACAGGTCGCAGCAACTTCCTCTTGTTTTCGCATGCGTCATTCGTTGACAGCCAAGACCCCGTTTAGCTATTCTCCTGCTTACTACCTGCACTATGAGAATAAAACTCCCC